GAAGAATTCTATAAACGTCGAAATTTATTTATAGGCGAAACCTCGCGGGCATTAAAATACGAAGGGGTTCCGGTAAACACGTACGGCTACACGTGCTATAAATTCAGCTCCAAAGGGTGACAAGATAAACGCGTCTCGCAGCGTCCTCGTACGATGTCCAGGATCCTCCTAGCGATTTTCGTCTACTCGTCCATTCCGCTGCACGTTGCAGCCGTGTTTTTCACGCCAGTCGAGCCTGACAACTTGTCCACTATCTACCGTTTCCTGGAAAAATGGGCCGGGAACAGCTACGTCAAGTTGGTGACGGTGGTCCTCGACGATTACCAACAGGACTACGACTTCAACATTCAACATTGCGTTTTCGACGCTCTAAACGTTACCATAAAGATGGTCACCATAAAACACTTAATTTACCTCAGGTTCGGGAACATGAATCGCGATTATGAGTCGTTCGATCAGGGTAGCTGCGTGGTGCTGTTGTTCACCGATTTCGAGCACCTCAGGCAGATCTTCAACTCGCCTCATCTGATCTCTTTTTGGCAACCGGATAAATTTTATCTCTTGTACGACTACACTCATAAATCCGTCGACTGGTACGAGGTGAAGAGGTTCTTTCAATGGGGATTCGAGAAACTGTGGAGATTCAGAAGGATCTTTAGAGTGATGGTGTTCATAGGCGAAAAGATAATCAGATACGATTTGATCGACTATGCTGGTTACCACACGAGGTTCTTCTTCAACAGCAGCTGCGATTGGTATTGCGTGAAGAACAACGAGGACAGTATTTTGATGGTGAACGAACCGGACAAGACGTTCGTAACTGACTTCTTCGAGGAAAGGGCGAATTATCACATGTACCCTTTGAAGGTCTCCATCTTCAGAACGAGTACCATGCCGGTAATCGGCGGAAAATTTTCAGGGATGGATTTTAAGTATCTGGAAGAAGTTACTAAAATGTTGAATGTTACTACAGTTTTGATGAAGTCTCCGGAAAAGTTTGGTTGGCAGGAGAACGGCATTTTCTTTGGGACAATTGGACATCTGGTGTATCAGTTGGCGGATGTCTCGTTCAATCAGTTTTTTATAAAGGATTATCTGACTAGACAGGTGGAGTTCACTACGGCTGTAGGGAACGACAAGCTCTGTATTATGGTGCCTAAGGCACCTCCCATACCTGATTACCTGGTAAGACAGAATTCCTTTTATTGCGATGTAATCAGAGAAACAGGGGAGAAACAGATTTAGACCCCTCGATCTCGCAGATCCCTAAATATTGAAGCCCGTCTCTTGTTCGCGATACTAACAGGAAAAATTCAATTGTGTTTCAGATATTCGTTAAAACCTTCAATGGAGAGGCATGGATGCTCATATTCCTGGGATATTTCGCAATCCTCGCAATTACTATGATATTAAGGGATGAAAGGAATCGCGAAATCTTGGATAATCTTTCTGACTGTGAAGCGAAATGCTTTTATGCGTTCTTAGCTTTCCTTCACGCGTCTTTTAGCAGAAATTCTTGTTTTCTCGCGGAACAAAACGAAGCTGCTATAAATGGAGACACGAAGAAGGGAGAATATAATGGGGTTGCACGGTGAGTGGATCGAACAGTACGCTTTCAGTTTGCCTCCACGATAATTGTGTTGTTTTGAAGAACTGAAATTAAAGATAACACCGGGAACGTACTTTTCTTTTTGTTTATACAAATTTCAATTTAATTGCCATTTTTAATCAAATTAGATATTTCATACGAAATTTAATTTCGGTCTTCCTTCAATTAACAGTTCCGTGTCTTTGTTTTTCTAGTTTCTCGACCTACATTTTATAAACGTTATAGAAATAAAAGAATATGTAGTTCCAAATACGGAGAAAAAATTGGGGAAAAACGCATTTCAAAAACACGGGAAAAGGAAAAAAACCGTATTAATCTTCAAAATAATATCAGCGTCAGAACATAACTCCCTTTCTCATTCTTGTAATTCTTTTTATTACATACTTCGCAGAAATCCGAACGATTCGATTTCTAAACAGAAAAGAATGGTACAGAAAGCAAACACAGGAAGTCGGAAAATATATATTTCATCCGTTTCGCATTATTATTCGATGTTCCCTATCCGAGTCGCATAAATATCTGTTTGAAAGCTCAACGTCACGCGTGCATACGTCAAAGCAGTAATTTTGCATCGTCTAAAAGTGTACAGAGAAAATGGTCTAAATAAAGGCTACTTCGACCACTTTTGTATTTCAGAATTCTAAAATTTATTCGACAGAATAAACAAATATTTAAAAAGAAATCTTTATTCATTCTAAATTAACCCCCATTAAACGATAGTTAACCTAAAAGTTTATTTTACCTTCTCAACGTATTTTTAAATATTCCAGCCAGAAAATGTGTACTTCCTCTTAGATTATTTTAAGAGTCCGCAATTAGAGCACGCCTTTAAAGATGCTTATTTTTGCGTTTGTTTTCAACGTATAATTTGCAGCGCACATTACTTTCGCTCGGCTTGTTTTAACTACTATATGAAGCAGTGTATCTTGGAAATATTTAACAGGCTTGGCTATATATCCCGAAATAAAAGTTCCACGTTCTGCGTCTTTTTCTATTCCACAGTAATCCATTCCGAACGGATCGATACGAGCCTTGGAAAATCTCACGAAACTTTTTGTCCCATGTTTTATCCGCGGGCAAATATTTGGTTCACATGTATCTGCAAATGATACAGCCATTCGAGTCGAAACGAACCTTGTTTCCGCAGAGATTGATACTCATGTGTTGTATGTTGATGAGCATCATTCTAAACGGAGTGTTCACGTCCCAGCTTGCTTCCTTTCTCAGCAAAAGAATATATTACGAAGACATTGATACGCTGGAACAGTTGGACCGAAGTGGTAATCGATTTAAAATAAAATTGTAGGAGTAGACAAATTTTAAAGTCGAGGTGTACGATAGCTGTTTCATAATTTCCCGTATTCGGGAATGTTTTTAATAAGAAATTATGTGGAATTTATTTAAGGTGCAATATCATACAATATAATAGAATTTATTGCTTTGAAGGACTTCCAATTTTGACCAACTCGAGAGATATCATGGATGACGCATTAACGGATTCCACGTCACCGGTGCTGCAACATCTTCGACGCAGATTGCAATATGCAAACGACTCGGAATCGAATAGAAGACTCTTTGAGACGAAAGATGCTGCTATTATCCATCGACTGGGTACCATATCATTGAAATACGACGAGTTCGAAAGAAAAAAGAACGTGCACATACTCAAAGAGCATCCGAAATATTATGTGATCGGTTTCGCAATGACCAAAGGTTCGTTTTATTATTTAACGTTCGTAAGTGGAACAGGAAAACATCCCCTAATGGTCCAGGTAGCTTATTGGTCAAAGAAGCTGTTTGGAAAAGGAAACATTTTTCCATCTGCATGTTTTACATGATTTCATATCTCGATGAAAAATTGATCGAAGATACACACAGAGCGTGGACATTGAAAAATCGTGTTTGATTTAAAATAAATTGAAGCTCCGAAGCGTTTGAAAGTTTTCACGTTTTTAAATTTAAATCGCGTAATTTGCGAGGTCAGAAATTTCGATGCCACATTTTCGAAATCTAGAAGATGGAATTTCTAAGTATGCGTCGGTAGATCCATCAAACCCTGAACTAAATTTTCGAGCGATTTATCATGGAAAAACTGGTGCAAGCTTGAGAATATTCGCGCCGGTTGTCGATAGCAGCGGCTATTTGTAAAACATGAACGGTGTTGCAGGATCTCCATTCCGCAAGCGTATAAACAGTATCCTGGGGAGATTGAACAACGGCGGTTTCTACATGAAATGGTACCAGGGCATGTTTCAATCGCAAAAACATTTGTTTAGAGAGCAAAAGCCGTCGGAACATCGAAAGATCACGATCAGACATCTTCTCATTCCGTTTGCGATTCTTCAACTCGGTTTGGTCACGAGCACGATCGTATTTATTCGCGAATATAGACAAAACAATCCCCGATAACTAGTTTATCCTCTTCAAAGGAGAAGCAACAGAAGAACGCAAGCGGGGAAACACAAACGAGAACGGACGGGGAAATCGGTCTGCTTTTTTCGGGAATGTTTTATTCGACGAAAATGAAACGGGACAGCTGGAAATTTTGTTTGCAAAGTACATACACGGTTCTTTCTCTGTTTATCATACTTTTATCATGAAATTGTATTAAACTTTAACATTTCGAAATCGGTTTTTTGTGATAACTTCGATGTAACTGTCGAACATTTTATGTTGAAAGTATTTAATAAAGCACTGGACATTTTTGTTAATGCTTAAGCTGTAAATTGGTGTATCATTTTGATGAAGTTTAAACTTTCAAATTGTACCAGATTTTGAACCTGGCTTTTATTTGATATAATTAACAGCTTTTAATTTTTTGTTCAAAATATTATGGATTCATGTAGGCACTTTTGTGAAACTTTGAACGTTAAATTGATGTAACAGAAGTGGCACTTTGCGATGCCTTTAAGTCATGAAACGTTTTAAGTTTCGAAACTGAATATTCTGTACAATCTGTAATCGACCACTTTGTATTAAGAATATCAATAGTAAACTTATACAAGTATTTCCGCGGTAATTTAAGCTTTAAATCGATACAACAGCGATGTTTTCTCGTGCTTAACAAAATCAAAGGCAAGAAACTAAATACATTATCAGATTCCGTTTGTCGAGCGAACGCGAGAAGTCGACGATGAAAAACGTTATCGATATTCCGATCGCAAAATGGCCCCGACACGACAAACCGAACACTGGAACAAGAAATCGATACGATTTAATGGACAAACATCCCCCGAAAAACCGAAACCACGTATGTAATAAAAGCTGAACAAATTTTTCACGCCAAAAAAGCATATCGAAATCGAAGAGAATTGCCGCAGCTTTTATGATCCCGTAAAACGCTTCGTTTCATTCATTCTCGTGCTATAAAAACGTAAAGCCCGAAGCGCGTCTAACTGGTTCTTTGGTTCATATAATGTCTCCCGGCATAAACCTCGCCGAGGAATATCAATCCTGAGCAAAATAGTCCACCGAACAGCACCACGATAGTTAGCGAATAATGATCCAAGGTCAGCCTGACCTTCCCCTTCTCCATCTCCAACTTCCTCCTCAGTTTCGCCAGTTCCAACGGATACAGCATTCTGTTGAACCAAAATGTGAGTAATCCAGCCTCCCTCGATCTCAGCAGCACGAAATCCACCCTCTCCCTGTACGGCGAATTCGACCTCAACACGTAAGCGACTCTGTAATTCATGGGACACTCGTCGACCACGTGCAACATGTCGTTCCCGTCTTTGTCGAAGTACGAAAAGTTCCCCAGTTTCATCGTGTAGTACCTAGTGATGGAGATTTTCTTGTCGAACACGACGATGTCCTTGGTCGACCTGTTCGATCTGATCACGTGGATTCGTTGGATCAGCTGCCTGTCCAACGGAGACTCGTCCACGAAAACGTTCTTCAAATTCGCGTACTTGGTGATGACGGGCTTTCCCGAGTCCACCACGTCCTCCAGGGTGCGTAGCTGAGGATAATGGAACGGTTTGTTCAAGCTAGACACCAAACAACTTTCGTAGACTCCGTTTACTATCAGCGAGAAGAAGAGGGAGGCCGAGAGCAGGCAGTTCTGCGTGATGCTGCTACCCTTTTGAAAGGGATAGCAGAGCGTCTCGAGGAAGTCGAAGATGGATGACAGACAGCTGTGTATTTCCGGTGGCTTTAGGGATTTCGAGTGGGAATCCAGATTTCGAGGGGATTGTTTGGAGGATCCGGGCACGGATGGATCGATCAACTCGGAAGCGTTATCGATCGTGTCGCTAGTGGATTCGTACCGCAACAGTAGCTCGTTCAAGTATCCCGTTAGACACCAGAGGAACGAGATCCCGATGTTGTACAATACGAGAACCAGCCATACTTCTTTGCGGAAAGGCATGAAAGGCATGTACGCCTTGGGCACTAAGCCGGAGTCGGGCGATAGAAAGCACACTTTATCTTCGTAAACGGCAGAAGTCAGCTGAAACTCGCGGAACTTGCTGTATACTTTGACGAAGAAACCGGTGATGACCATCTCTACGGTTCCTCTCTCGATGCTCCTCAGCGACGCAGAGAAAGGATCCTCCGGTCCGAAGTCGCGTTTCCTCATTGCTGTTATTCGAAACTTTGCCTTCAGGACCTTTTCCAGGGTGTACAGTACCTTCGCGTCGAGATTGGATAACTTTAGCCGATTTTGCGTGTCGTAGGTAACGTTCATAAACAACGATTCGAAGGCGATCACGTTTATGGGGTAGTCTCGCAAATTCTGAAAATTCTCGAAGAGTCTTCTCCCTTTCGGTCGATGAACTCTGGAGGTCGAGTTTTCTAAATCATAATTTATTAACGTGTAACTTTAATCAAATTTTCGAGAACAAGGGTAAGTAAAATAATCGTGTAAAAAATATTTCTATCGATCATACCTTTGAAGTAATCCGGACACAGCTTACCGACCTCGCCATAGTCATCATCGCGTTTATCGAAAGGCATATACTTCATCATACACCGATAATCGTCTTGAGCAGATATTACGACAGCTTTATAAACGCCATACTTCCGCCATAAAGTTGCGAAGACGTCTCTCCACGACGTAATCACTTCATTTCCAATGAAAATGATGAGATATCGATTGCTGGACGTCCACAGTTTCGGTTGCCAGTAGATGTAGATGTACAGATTGTACAAATCACGAACAACGATGACCCAGGTCAGACTAAATCGTTGCATCCAAGTAGCCTTCACCGAGAGATCCCTGGACCTTACTGTATATACGTCGATCGAATTATCTTCGATGTGTCTGAACAGGAAGTCGATGACGTTCGATTGAAATTCGGGTTGAATTATGGAGAACACGAAGGAGTGAAATTCGGGAGTCTCGTGAATGAAGTTCAATATTAATTTCAAATTGTCCGTATCATCCTTTGACAAGTGGTCGAGATGTTTCGTCTCGACGAAAGAATGCAGTTTAGGATAAAATAGAACGTTAGGTTGCATGGAATTATTTGTGCATGTGGATGATTTTATGGAAATCGTGCAAGTAAGGAATAGGTAGAGTGATATCATTCTAAATTTTTTGCCTGATGAAACCTGTAACATAAAATGATACAAGTTCTTCGAATATAACATACGTTAATACGATGTGTAAAACAATTTAACAATATGACGATATATCGAAGTCTACTGTCCTCCAACTGTACTAATCTTCTTAAACTACAATTCTATCCGTATCCCGTGACAAACAACTTACCCCGCGTAATCTTTCGCTAAACGAAACGACTGTTATGGAAGTTGCAGTAATTTTCTTGCACGACGCAAGAAATATTGCGATAGAATAGCTATCGTGCTTCCACTAGCTTGCAGCCGCAAGACTCTTCGATCCTGAACAAAGCTGTCACGTGATCTCCTCGCGGTGCATAAATATTCATACAGCACTTCCGAGGAAGACTATTAAGCCGAAAGGAACATGAAATTAGAGTCAGTTAAGAGTTTTACTCGCGGACGTTTCAGAAGAAACTATCCAGGTCGATAGTCACCGATTACTAGAATGGAACTCTTCGACTCGTAAATCGTTCTCGAAGGTGGAAATTTCCAATAAAAATCAAACAAATTTCCCATTTTAACTTAACGACGAGAGAAAACGATAGAGAAGATTGCAGATAATTTTTCCACGAAGAATAACGTGGAGCACGGTAAGTGTATAGCTTCGTTGAAATTTTCTCCGGGTTCGCTCGTGAAACTGTTGGCTTTAAGCATTTTCAAGAATTTCTCGGAAACCTGTGTTTGAGCATAAAATATTTGCTAGGTAATAATATACCGCGTCTCGAGTAATTGCAAGACCTGAGAAAATAGCTTAATTATTTCAAGGATATCTTGGGCCCTGAATATACTTCTAGTATCTAGGTTTCTATATCTCTCATTGTCAGATATTGATACTCCTAGGTGATCCTAAATCCTTCTGCTCCCAACCACAAGGTCCCTCCCTGGATTTTATATCTTCAAAGTTATGAAATTACGTCGAATTTGACAAAGGATTGACCATCTTCCGAGCAGTTATGGAAGAAATAAAATAATATAAAGAAAACGATCCTACGGATCAATGCTTGAAGAAAACGAAAGAAACCATAAACCCGGCACGTTGGTCGTTTATCAAACGTCAAAATAGGTCATGAAACCCTCCAATTTCCTCGAGGACGATTCATTTCTTCGAATGGAAAGATGAAAAACGACGAAACATACAAACATACTTTATACCACCATAGCTGTTGGAACAGAGAAGGAATTAGAGGAAAACAAAGGGAAAAGCGACGTAGTTGAAACGTTCGGCTGAAGAATTTCATGGTGGGTAGGACAAATGTGGTAGTAAAACTTTGTTCGCGAACTTTAAAAAAAAAAGCAGAAAGACAATCGTAAAGCTCGCTACCGGCCCTTGTTCGAAACGATCCTCACTTTCGACGTTTCCAGGAAAAAAGTACGACGAGCCGTCTAGCTGGCGAAGAAACTTAACATTCAGCCCGAAGAGCGAACGAAGCCAGATTTTATGGCGTTCCACGCCCTCTTTATCGTGTTTACCCCGAGCAAATCGAGCGTACGTTTGCATCGCAATTGTGGCTCCTTCGAGTCTGACAGGTCATTAAGCTCGATACTGCTTCAAACGTTTCCGGACAACTGCCTCTTACCCTTCGTACTTTTCTAACAAGGGTGACCCTTCTTGAAAAAATAGGAAGATAAAGAGAATGGCTTTACTTTGTAGAAAAGTTTGTAGGCGTGAGATAGGCATTTGGGAATATCAGAATCTGAAGTTGGAGAAGTTTGAAGACGAAATCTGCTGATATACGAGTGTTAGAGTCTAGACAGATGACGAGTAGATCTCGCACGACCATTCGTACCACTATTTCAATAGCTAATGTACTACACGATCTCGCTTTGTATCGCCAGCATCGATTTCGCAACTCGCCCTAAAATACGTTTTGATTTCCAGAGGCCGGTGTCAACCACATACGGCGTTGACCATGTCATTGTTAAATGGCCTCATTAAATTTTCACCCGTCCGCGTCGCTCGATCCCCTGCAGATAAGGATGTGAATTTCACCGGCTGTGTTGTTTTCCAACGACCTCACCCTCTCTAAACGACCCGTTGATCCCCATCGCTTAAACGTCGACCCAACTTCTATTATCTAGCTCGATCCTAAAAGAGGACGTGCCTCGACGATCATCGAGAACGAAGCGGAGCTTCGCAGGATAAGCAGACAACTTTTCATCGAACGCGTCCGTGAAAAACTGTTTAGTGACACGATAAAAAAGTGAACGAAGCTTCAGAGTTTGCGATCCTTCTAATTTTATCGGTTCGACGTATCGGTCAAAGATACGCCGTAATTCGAGAAGCTCGAGGATCATTCTAATTAAAGGAATCCGATGAGAAGCCAGGTTTGGAGCATCGCATCGCAGAGCATTCAGCTGTCATATCGGTAACGGAGTATAAGATCTTCCTAATTACAGTAATACGAGAGTGGCGGAGATCCGATAACTGGCGGTGAGCTGGCGAATAATCTGGTACAGGGAAATTTGGTGAACAAAGCAGTCTGCTATTATAATAAGTCGGTGGCTGTTAATTGATGCCCGGTTAGAAGTTTCGCTCGGAAGTTTGGGACATCGGTTTAATTGCGGCGATTTCTGAGAGAACTGGGGTTGAGAGGTAAAGATGATCTTAATAATTTAGAACGTCCTGCGACTCGGGTCTTTGGGGATTCAGGGACCTTAACCTAACTGATAATGTCCAAATTTAAGAATTTTTTAGAATCAACAGCTTCAAAGAATTACACATTTCTAACATAAGATGCATGGTAAAAAACCACCCCGAGTTCTAGATATATCGCTTCAGCAAATTGTTAAATTTGCCAATCCTCCCTATTAAACAGATCCACAGAGCAGACATTCAAGAATTGGAGCCCCTTAAAAAGTTTATACCTCAAAGATCCTCGTAATTGTAGTAATCCGAGAAAAGCGATCGGTATAACCGAAGGGTAGAAATGTCAATATCAAAGATCCCCCAAATGCAGCAATTTGAGAGCAATTCGACCCTCAAGATCCTCCCAATTACGGGCAGTAATTCGAGAACGTTGATTATAACCCACATGGATACCTTAAATCTCTAATTTGCGATTGCAGATGATTTTAAAGGTGATATTGCTAGGCAGTTTGTTGTTTCGCCCATCGACGACGAATTACACGAACGAGGAGCAAAAATTCAACAAAGCCATCAAGTATTGGACAGAGATGCTGTGTACCCTGCAAAAGACGAAAACCATGGTGTTTCATGGGATATTCACGAACGGTACGAAAACGTTGCAGGAATTCTTCGAAGTTCTGCTTCGAACCACCACGGAATACTGCAACACTGTTATTTTACTGAAAACCCATCCGCCGAGTTTCTATCAAAATGGAAATATAAGAAGCGACGATAAATTAGTTAGGAATCAAACGGAAAAAACGAGGAGACACAGAAAATTAACCCCAATGATGAACCTCCTTCGCCATAAATGGAATATAAGGAGAAACTGGCGGAAGTTCGACGAGTATTATATCGATATTTGGAGTATAAATATTATATTCCTCGGCGATAACGAAGCTTTCGAGAAATTATTGAACACGTCAATGATGTTGAACAGCAGAGAACATTTTATCGTGCTGGCTGTCTGGAACGATGATGTGGCGAAGTTGAGCGACAGCAGACAGAGGATCGATAGAACGTTGAGGAAATTATGGTTGGAACAACGTGTTCTGAACGTGCTTTTCAACGAACCACTGTCAAATCACGGCTTCAATTTGTACAAGTATAACCCGTTCGCGAGGAACGAAAAATGTAGGTGAACACAATTAAAGCGTTCATTAACGCGAGCATTACAGTTGTCCCGGAGTTCTATGCAATTAGCTGCGTATTTTTAATTGGGCACTCAATTGGTGCGCGCCTGTTTTTCGAGAATCACAATTAAATAATGTCGGCGAGTCCACGATTAATCAAATTCATTCCCTCCGATTATTCGTCGGCACTTATATTACTAAATTAAACGTATCATGCGTATCCATAAAATAAATATTGCTTTGACAACGTGTACATTATTTGCGTGGACCAAATTGAGTGCATTCGGTCAGTGCAGCTTATTAAATTTCAGAATTTCTGTCTTTGTGCATTTTTGGATTTGGGAATTTGCAGGGTTATAGATTTGTTAGTTTGTGAATTTCATAATTACATAATTTTGCAAATTTTCAACATTGTAGCTATCTGGCAAATCTTCGTAAAATTTACGAAAGAAGCATCAGATTATGAAACGGTTCGAGCGTTTTAGCAAAAGAATGTCTATTTTAGCCTGGGGACGATTGGAAAGGGTCGAAACGACATCGCAAAGAAAAATCTTGCGTTTGCTGTCGACATTGTGTCATCGACGTACCGTAAACTTTGACGGGTACAAATTTAACGTGAGCATCTTTGATCAGGGTGTGGAAGGAATGAAAATTCGAGGGAAAATCGATCCTGGCTCTATTTACGTTCATTCGGGAGGATACAATTCGACCAGTGGAATTCTGCTGGGAGTGTTGGCACTAAAAACAAACTTCACGGTGAACGTCGTCGAACCCGTCGATAACAAAATCTATGGTTATCAGATGGGAAACGGCTCGTACACGGAAGCCATAGGTAACTTTTTATCAACTATACTGCTCTCTTTGCTACTAATCGGACTGATAATTATTTACGGAAAATTGGGAAATTGGGAAATTGGGAAGTCAAATAATATTTTTATATCAAATATAATATTTAATAATTAAAAACTACGGAACAGTAAGGGAATTTATATAATTGATATTTTGTTAATTTTACTGAAGGAAGATTAACGAAACTTATTCGTCGGCTTTGAAGTTTACTCGCACGCAAATTAACTAAAAGCTAAACGATACATTCCAACATTGTTTTTCTTCTGTTACGTTCTTTATAACGCAGAACATTCTAATTTTCCCTCTGTGATATCTACACGTATGTAAATTACAGTGAACCTGCATATAAAACAGGCTCTCATCAGTACCAGCTTGATGGAAACGTGGACATAATTTGAAAAGCAATTCTGGAAAAAAAAGGTTAAATAAAAACAAGACCAACTTCATATATTATTCTTTATCCTGTCTTACAAAATATCAAAAATATGTTCCTCTAAAACACGCTCAAACATGGCCGCATTTTATTTGCCAGTCGGTGAAGAACGAGAAAAATATTTCTCCGTATTTCAGTTGCTTGTAAAGTTCGCTTCTATCGGTAAACATGTTCGATTTTCTTCGTTCATTTATGATTTCAATTCTCTTGGCAAACTGTGGAACGATTAACTTTTTGTTTTCGAAAGGCTATTTACGCTTAACAATTTGGAATAACTATTTTTTAATATCTGCAGAAGTATGTCGTTTAAAAATAACAGACAACTGATAACAGAAAAGTAATTTCGGAAAGGTTTATCAAACTTTTCGATCAGAAAGTTTTACCTGTCAACAACGAATGCTGGGAAACAGGAGAAAAGATGTTTCCCTTCGGAATGTCGTAAATAAAATGTAGAAACGTCGAAATCAAATAACGAATAACGAAGCGTAATTAAATGCCCGGGAGACGAATCGAAATAAAATAACAGCGAACAGAATGTTATTAGTCCAGATATTTTTTCCAGGAAGGAATTTTTCCAGGTGACGTGGTACGGCATAAAGTGGTCGCTTCGTTCGCTTCTTTCTTCGTGAAACGCTACGCTAACAATGATCGTATGGAATTTACCACAACGGTGGGTTTTGATGAAGTTTGCGTCATAACTCCGAGGGCGGGCAAAATACCAAAGGGTTTAAGGATGTATCGAATCTTTCGGTGGTCCGTGTGGTTGTGCATCATACTCTCCTATGTTTTCGCCTACCTCGCTTGGTACTATGCTCGATTGCTCGAATCACGAAGGTACGTTTCGTTACACGTTACACGTTACACATAACTTGATATCCTCGTTAGTGGAAATTATGGGCGTGAATATTCAGAAATTAGACATTCTTGGGTCGGAAATTAGGGATTCGGGGAATCGAAGTTTTGGGAATTGGGATTTGCGAGGTTGGGAAATTGGGGAAGTGCGAAATTGGGGAGATGGGAAATTGGTAGATTAGGAAATTGGCGAAGTGGGAAATTGGGAAATTTGGGAATTGGGGAGATGGGAAATTGGGAGATTAGGAAATTGGGGGAGTGGGAAATTGGGAGATTTGGGAATTGAGGAGATGAGAAATTGGGAAATTTAGAAACTGGGGAAATGGGAAATTGGGAAGTTGGGAAATTGGGGATTTGAGAATTTGGGGAGCTGGGAAATTGGGAAATATGGAAGTTGAGAAGTTGGGAAATTTGGGAGTTGGGGAGATGGGAAATTGGGAAATTGGGAAACTGGGAAATTTGGAGGTTGGGAAATTGGGAAATTGGGAAATTTAGTAACTATGATACGAATACAAAAATCCTAAACTGCCTTCAAACCTCAAAATCAAACCCTAATATCACTCTAGAAATAATCTCTCCAACTTTCAGTCCAAAGCTGAAGAAACTGGACGGTCAAAGAATAGCTCTCCACACACTGCTCATAATATCGGGTTATCCAATCCCATTGCCAGCGACAAAGAGCGAGAGATGTCTTCTGTTAGGTCTCTTTATTAGTAGTGTTACTATAATTGGCGTATTCAACGGCGCGCTTTATACGATGTTCGCGAACAACATGCATTATAAGGAAATCGACACTCTGGAAGAATTGGACGCATCTGGACTCCCGATTGGTTGCACGAGGAACACAAAAGATATATTCGGTACGGAGAATGACGTGAACTTGAACCCGGTTCGGAGGAGATTGCAGAAGAAAATGGTTTATGCGCGCGATAGCATGGAAATGGCTGCTGTTTATCGTAATGTGACTAGTTTACTCAGGAAACAGCATTATACGTTGTTGAGTGGACCTTTGAGAGGCAGGCATGGGGAAAAATTGGTGCATCGTATGAGGGAATGTCCAGGTATGCTTCGATCGATGATTAAATTGGTGTTTAAGGTGTTTGATCTTTTTTTTATTTACTTTGTTGTTTTATTGTTTGAGTAGTAGTATTGTTTAAGTAAATATTTTTTTAAGTAAGCAAACAGAGACGGTTGCAGTTTACGGAACAGTGAACCTGAATTAAATAAAATCTAAATTGACTGAAAAGAGAGTAAATCAAGTTAAATGAGACTTGCGGTAATAAAAGATCCCAAAAGTGAGGAAAAAAGAGACGGAACGGTTTTCTAAATAAATGCGAGAATTCACTCGATTAAAACGACACGTTTGATAGGACATCAAAGTTTATACAAGTATTGACTTTAAATAAAATACAAAAGCTTCAGTAACGTCGATAAAAAAGAATTTTATTCTTTCTGTCGTTCATCTCTCTGCGGATAGAAATCGAATATCGCACGTAGTCAAAAGTATAAAAAAAAAGAAACAGATCTCTCTGATTCGAACAATCTTTGACGTCCATCCCCAGTGTTTAGAGAACAAAAAATCTCTTTTATTGGAGTTTCCATATCATCGAAGAGTAACGCCATTGTGTACACGAATTCCAGACAAATATTTTCTAGCTTGCGTTCTGCCCAGAAATTCGTTTCTTCGGGAAAGGATCAACACCTTGATCAGTAGATTGAATCAAGCCGGATTGCCGACATTATGGAGAACTCGGACGATGTTGGAAAGTGGAGTGAAAATGAAGTTGATCTTGAAGAGATCACATGATAAGAATGAGGACTTTGAAGCTCTCACGTTAAAGGATTTACATGTATGCTTCCTTGTACTCGGTGTTGGATTACTGTTGGCGATATTGGCATTCTGCAATGAGATGGAATGGTTGAAACTGGACTGCAGGAAAATATTTTGGTAGTATAATTTTGTACTTTTATTTATGGAGTATTGGGAAATTTGGGATTTGGGAAAATTGGGAAATTTGGGAAATTTGGGAATTGGGGAGTTGGGAAATTGGGGCGTTGAGAAATCGGGGCGTTGGGAAATTGGGGACATGGGAAATTGGAAAATTTCGGAATTGGGGAGATGGAAAATTCGGAAATTTGGGAATTGGGGAGATGGGAAATTGGGAAATTGGAAAATTGGAAAATTGCAAAGAGGGTAAATTAGGAAATTGGGAAACTCGGAAAGTGGTGAACTGGAAAACATCGCAAACATCCCAATTTGTACATTTTCAAAGAAATAAAGCTGCTACATCCCGCAAATCATTTGCCAATAGTCCATGATTAATCGAGGTCCAAAAACACGAAATAAGAGCTTACGGAATAAATATATTTTCGTTACGATAAAATTTCGGAACTCACGAATTATTCGCAGCGATCGGGATTGCAATTCGATGGAATGAAATATCAAGTTATTCCAGGAGCAAAACCCAATTCCAGGTCCATATCCAGTTTAAACAATTTTCAACATTGCGGTCGCGTCGTTTCAGCTGAAATTTTATTCCTCCCTCGAGGGACAAACTTCATTTGTATGATGCATTAAAATGGAAAAAAAAGGAAAGATTGAATAGAAAGTCTTTGTTTTTATCTCTCGGCTAAAAAGATGAAGACGAAAGTAAAGTTAGCTAAAGAACGTTAATGGAGAAGTTAAAGTCTTTTACTCCTCGAATCTTTCTTACGAATGACCTGCTTTTCTTTTCAACAATCTAATATGAATTCATTGCAAATGTATTTGAAATTCTTGTCTAATATCGGCGGTTATCGATGGTATTTTCGCGACACGCTTTCCAGCAGCGTTCACCGTGCGAGAATTAGTCAGCTCCAAAGGAAGCGGTGGTTTATTTTAGGGAAGTCTGAAAATACGCGTGCACGTCCCTCGTCAAGATTCAGTCGCTTGTCGTTGCTTCGCGATAGGATCATGGCTCTTAAACAGTGTCTATTGTCTTGTATAGTGATAACAATTTCGATAGGTACGTATCACTGCTCTTTTCTTCGATTTCATTTATCGATATTCTGCGTGGGAAACGGGAAACGCGACGTGACGTTTACGAGGTTTTCTTACAACTCAGTCAAATTTCATAACAGTCAAAAAGCTCGAGTGGAAACGACCGTGTTAAAAGTTTTTAAAGGTAACAATTCCTGGTGCAGGAATCTCTGAAAGAATCGACAAAGCGTAAAAATGACATTACCCCTTTATATGTCGAAGAGAAAGATCTCAATAAAACACATTCGAAATATTTCGTTTAACGCAGCGAGAATGAGATTAATCATATCGAACGAGACCATTCAGATTTAATTAAATATTTCAATTTAGTTTGAAACAACAATGAAATCGGTATTGCGATAATTCTCAAAAGAAACAGCCGACGATAAATGGAATAAAGCAATAATGACTTGAAATATTTTCTTTGCCACCAGCACCCTTAATCGCTGCATGGAATTCTGATATTCATCGGTACGTATAACAGTATTATTATCGGACCAGAAAATGTAATTATTAACGTTTTTATTCCTTGAGAAGGAAATTCAAATCCAAAGCAGTCGACAAATCAAAGATTTAATCTTTTGTCATAGAACTAGTATTAAAATATTCTATTGATCTTGAAACGCTGTTCTAAAAAGACCGCCACAAACTATATTACTGACAACCGATAATTTAGTATCCAGCGGTATAGCGGCAAATGATACTCAACTTTACATGTTTGCATTCTGTAAAACTTAGAAGTTCAATAATTTAAAAATTTGTGAATTTGATGCCTTCCATTGCGTTCAAACAATTAATCTTTAATTTCATACACTTTCACAAGGTACGAGAGCTACAACCTCGAAAGAGGGCCGGTCATATACGAGGCCTACTACCCAGACAACAACGAAGAGTCCCGAAATGTCCCGGAGAAACGGTACTTCGATCGAGAAGCAGTGTTGGAGAAGACCTACCAGCTGCCTTCCCAACGTTTGGTCTATTCAGAAAGTCCTATCGGATTCAATGGCTACCCAAACGAAAGAGTATTGGTTCAAGATACTCGAGACGATCTGATTCCACAAGCCAAGTCTCTGGACATACGAGAAATCTCCAGTTTAGCCAGAAGAGCAATTTCTCGTGATTTAGAAAATTGGAACACCCTGGAACAATATTTGGACCGCGTGAATTACCAGGATCCTTATCGTCGTGACATCGACCCGAACTACAGGATCAAGCAATCGATCCGTGGAATTGAGCCAAAGGACAGCTTGAAACAGAACCGCGATTTAAGAAGAGAGCTATACGAAGAGATTAGAGAAGAACCGTTGCAAGTTCCGATTCGCTTGGAGGATCAAAGAGACTCGATGAGGATGCTCAGAGTTCGAGATCTTACTGGCAGAGACCCATTGTCAACATTCGGATCCGTTCCATACCAAAATCAATCGCCGGAACCGGTTGCTAAAGCCGAAGAACCGATGAGTGTTCCAATACCGAAACAAATAGGTGTTCAGGAACCAAAATCAGATCCCTACCCAACCGAGAACATCTTTGCTCCGCGACCTCAGGTGATCAACTATATCTTCTCGAGGAAACCGGAGGTGCCTGAGGAGAGCAAGACACAGAGCGTGCCTGAAACGAAAGACACTGAGTTGCCTAGGAACTACGGAGACAATCTTATTAGGGATGAAATTAAAAAGACGGAAGAGAACAAGGACGTGAAAGTAACTTCTATCGAAGTCAGCGAGGTGCCCAGGCACAAAACTCGACATCATCATGGCGAATGGCCCAAACGGGATTACCCTCGACATCGTCAATCTTAATCGCGGAAACTTTCATTCTTTGGAAGATTAAATGTTATCCAAGAGTGATACTTGAACTTTCGGAACTTAATTAATCTAGAAATTCTTGAATTAAGTACTTATTTTTAAACGCGCAATAAAATCTACGCGGTAACACACATTATTTGTAATTTATAACAGACATTATTGAAATAAATGAATAATAAAATTTTCGAAAAAAATGTTTATTTTTAAGAATGAATTGTTTTACTATCCTACATTTCAGAAAGGTATATTTTCAAATTTATATTTGCAGAGCTGACAATGAAAAGAAAATTTAGTTTCCTCTGTTAGCGATGCTGCCTCTAAGATCTTCTGAGTTGGTACACCTTGTGGAAGTCGCCGCGCGGCGGTTCTTCTTTTCCCGCTAAAAAGCATTGAATAAAAAGTGTTCTAAAATTAATTACTATTGCTTTGCGATGTAATTCGACGAATATTATAGCTAATTAAAGCAATAAAATCGATATTAATTGAAGTATTTTTTATGGTTTCAGTAATCTAGCATTATCGTTTGTCATTTTATTTATTAAATTTGAGCATGTTTTTGCTTGTACGATTTGCGAGAAGGATACATATTTTCCTATCCATGGTTACATTAATTGTTAATACACATATAGTTAAATAGATTTAAAAAAAAGCGATATAAAAGCGTAGTGAGATATGTACATGTTGTTATAGAAGATTGTATTATTGTTGTAGTATACTGTATTAAATAAATATTCAAATCATACGACGCTTAATCTTTTTATTTTAATAAATTATTGTAATTTATATGTATATATCTTGATATCAAAAGTAATAAGCTTGCATGGAATTCTGTAGTATTAAGTTGAACTGTTTTTCTTCTGCAACTTTATATAAGACAGTACAGAATCGCGTTGATTACTAAACAATTTATTTTTTGGTAAAGTAACAAATTATCGCAGTTTCAACAGCAGTGATTGTCTTTAACAAACATCAGCCTTATCTGTTTCCGTAAGGAGCGCGATATTTGTGTGCCAAAGGTTCGAAAAAAGATTTAGAAGATAAGGGAGCCTTGAAAATACATCTTATTTTTTCTTTTACTTTCAATAATAATCTGTTAATCTACGAACATGGTAAAGTTAGAAAAAAGGCTTTACAATGGACTCGACGTATTATATTTGAAAATTAAAAAAATTGAATGGTCTGATAACAGCTCAGTCAATTCGAAAGCATTCTGAAGTTAATTATTATTGCTATGCGATGTAATGCGATAAATATTATAGTCAATTAAAGCAAAAAAATCAATTTTAATGGGGCTTTTTCGAAAATTGAACAAGTGGCGCCATCTCTCCGGCGAACAGGGTGAACTACACACTTTTGATACTGTAATTTAATTAGTTCCATCTTCTGACACCAGACGGCGCCACCTGTACGCCCTCTAGCTGTAGAAATCAGAACTAATTAAAGTGCAGTTTCAAAAGTGTGTAGTTCACCCTGTTCGCCGGAGAGATGGCGCCACATGTTCAATTTTCGAAAAAGCCCCATTAAAATTGATTTTTTTGCTTTAATTGACTATAATATTTATCGCATTACATCGCATAGCAATAATAATTAACTTCAGAATGCTTTCGAATTGACTGAGCTGTTATCAGACCATTCAATTTTTTTAATTTTCAAATATAATACGTCGAGTCCATTGTAAAGCCTTTTTTCTAACTTTACCATGTTCGTAGATTAACAGATTATTATTGAAAGTAAAAGAAAAAATAAGATGTATTTTCAAGGCTCCCTTATCTTCTAAATCTTTTTTCGAACCTTTGGCACACAAATATCGCGCTCCTTACGGAAACAGATAAGGCTGATGTTTGTTAAAGACAATCACTGCTGTTGAAACTGCGATAATTTGTTACTTTACCAAAAAATAAATTGTTTAGTAATCAACGCGATTCTGTACTGTCTTATATAAAGTTGCAGAAGAAAAACAGTTCAACTTAATACTACAGAATTCCATGCAAGCTTATTACTTTTGATATCAAGATATATACATATAAATTACAATAATTTATTAAAATAAAAAGATTAAGCGTCGTATGATTTGAATATTTATTTAATACAGTATACTACAACAATAATACAATCTTCTATAACAACATGTACATATCTCACTACGCTTTTATATCGCTTTTTTTTAAATCTATTTAACTATATGTGTATTAACAATTAATGTAACCATGGATAGGAAAATATGTATCCTTCTCGCAAATCGTACAAGCAAAAACATGCTCAAATTTAATAAATAAAATGACAAACGATAATGCTAGATTACTGAAACCATAATAAATACGAGATGTATAGAAATGTTAAATGATTCGTGACGTTGAAGATGTTCGATGATGTGATTCATTTGTTTGGATCATGAAAGTTTATTCTTCCAAGTTCTGGAGAAAATTTGTCCAAAATATTTTCCACGAATGTAGAATTAAAAGGACATCTGAATAAAATATGATTTCCTTTTTTGATGGAATTAAATATCGGTAGAATATTATTGGAAGAACTGAATTCGTAACAATCTGAATGGTTGCAATAACTATATTACTTCTGATATAAGGACAAGTACAAAGGCAAAGCCACAAGTACTTTTATAAGTAACTTACACTATTGGAACACAGCTTCGTTTGGTGAATAGTCTCAGTTAACTACATCTACATTATATTTAAGTATCCAATTCTTTCCTATCGGGGACATTCGAAGTTCTGTTTTTACATAAATTGACTGTCCTTTGTATACGTACGATCTTTAACTCGATCTAAAAGTCATCGTACGTTTTTCTATGTACGCCACCAAAAAATTAACAAAATAAATATAAAACTATTGTATATTTATATAGCATACAGATACTAATTATAAATTATAGAAGATAATAGACCGACAATTAGAACTGTAAAATTGTTTATAATTGACCGGCAGCAAAATTAAGAAGGAACAATGAAACTTTTAAGGCAGCTTATGAAACATCCGTGTTTCGGGATATCTTTAGCTATGTGAACAATAGTTAACATTATATTCTTATAAATCTTTTCATGCCTATGCCTATCTTCGTCAAAGATAGGTAGAACTTATTTTTTCATTTTAGAAAAAAAATATAGAACAAAAATCTATTTCATAAAACAATCAAAATTATTAAAAATTTCCAACTCGAAATTACATAAAAAGAAAGCTACATTGCATATGTTACATATAACAAATAAAGATTTTATGTTCAGAACTGCAACTAAAATGAAAATATAAGTTAGTAAATCATTACATTATTAAATATTGGACTATAGCAAACTACATGCTCATTAAATAAAGTTTTGTTTCCTTATCAACCTAATCGAAAATTTAAAACTGCATTTTATATGTACTTAAATAACCTTTGTATATTTACTTTTGCATGTTAGAATTAACTTACTATCATATAAAATTATTTACCTACATTTATTTTGCACTCTAGTAATTCAACCTTTGTTGTACTTCATTATACAATAATGAATTTAATATTATCTATTACCATACATCACATAATGACATATAAAAATAATTATAATTCATCATCAAGGAAGCTTCCTAGGTACACATTTAGAAAGCAATAATTTGGTACTCTGAAAGTTAAAAATATATATGTAACAGATTTTAGACATAACACATACTGTATAAATATTGTTTACAGTACCTTTTTCATTTTTTAATTAAGTTTGAGACCACAAATTCTTTTAATTTATCATATGCTTTAGAGATATCATCATTTTCAATTACCACATCAAAATTACCTGGCTTCTCACCTGAAATAATTATCAAATATTCACATTGGTATTTCTTAAAACACAAAAATAATTTAAAAATATAATAAACAATGCATACCATACTCCATTTCTGTTCTGGCAATAGATAACCTACGACGTAAAGAGTCATCTGTTTCTGTGTTCCTTCCCTTCAATCTTTCTTCCAGTACTTCTATAGATGGTGGTTTAATAAATACATACAAAGGATCAAGAGAACTTTGTTTTACTTGTTTCACACCTTGCATCTCAATGTCTAATATACAAACTTTTCCATCTTTCTGCACCTGTTCCACTGCACGTTTGCTGAGATGAAGTTTTATAGGAAATTTCTAATTAAGAAAAATCATAATAGCTACATATGCTGATAGAATTAAATTATTACCTCGTTCCATATAAATTTCCACTGTAGGTAGCTGTCTCAAGGAATTCACCTTGTTCTATCTGCTTTTGCATCTTTTCTTTAGTTGTAAAGTGATAATGTTTTCCATCTTCCTCACCAGGTCTTGGTGCTCTAGTTGTATGAGACACCGAAAATCCAAATGTTTCTGGGAAGTCTTCAAAAAGCTTCTTTATTAATGTGCTTTTCCCACTGCCAGAAGGACCACACAATACTAATGGACGTGGATGCTTATGAAGCATATTACGAGCACCTAAAGTAATATTTCCACAAAATGTGAACTTTGAAAAAAAAAAAGTGTATAAAATTGCTCATACCTATTGCTAATGTTCTAAGATGCAAGAATGATGTCATACTTTTACACTTATAATTCAATTAGTTTTTACTTAATAGGGGGCATATGTGATTAAAATTACGTAGTATGGTAATTACAATGAATTCGACAGTAAAAAGTTTTGTTCTAAAACAACAAATAGCAGACAAAAAATGCCGGACTCGTTGCAATTGCAAAAAATCAACATAAACGAAGCGCGTGACATAAAATAAATGTTCAATGATATACTTCAAAATATTCTCTTTAAACTTATCGAAACTCTCAGAAATCTTGGGATCAAAAATAAAATGAAATGTCCTCAGAATATTGATTTCTTGTACAAAAACATGCTGTAAAATGTATTACTTATTACACATAACAGTTAATTAAATAGTGAACAAAAATACTATGAAATTTAACCAGTTTAATTCAAAAACATTCAACGGTGTATGATTCATTATAACCAAACTGTACATGAATTTAATTCGCAATAAACACGCGGAATACGAATTCAGAATTTAGTCTGCAAAACTGGTTTGACTTGGTTGAGGATCACAATTACTTTTTGTAATTTTATCATCTTTTATAAAGATCAAGTGCAACATATGAATATAAGACATATTTAATATTAATCTCACCTTTATATACAATTGAATCGAAAAATAAATAACAATTAAACGTAGGTAAAGTTTATCAAGAAAAGCACAGATATCCGCGGTCAGGACAAACAGCTACCACATTTCCGTTTTAACAAGTACATGCGCACAAGCAACTGCATTGGAAGCTCAGAACATTTTAAAGTACATTCAAACTAGTTCAGACCAAATATATATAGTCTGAACGCACCTTCATGTCACAAATAATTATATTCACTCGTAAAAAAAATATACAATGCTACTTTCACGTTATTTTTACTGCAAACATTTATACTATAAAAGCGAAACATGAGTGTGTTATATCGAAAGGTATATTTCTAATCTTCTACATCCCTCTAAATTTCTAGATACCTACACTCCTAGATACTAATATCTCCTAGATTTTAGTATCCCTAGATTTCTGTATCCCGTTTGGAATGATTTTCCAGGTGAAACTTTCTTATTTCTTTATTTTATTTAATAAGGTTTACAATTTCAATTATTCGATACAGCCAGCAACATTAATTTCAAGAATGTTCCAAGTTTATTTTTACTATCTAACAATAAGTTGTACAAGTTACTGTCCCTGAAGTAGAGATAGTATATGGATAAAAATGTTATTTAGACAACATCAAATGACTTTCATTTGTATATGTATGTAAAACTATGCACATACGATAAACTTCCGGGCAATATCAATAGTATGATATATTACGTAAATAATTACGTAAATATTTACGTACATGCATTTTTTATATAATAAATTTAACACTTATGCTCCGAAAAAACGCGGAACTGTCCTGTTTCAAATGCGATTTATTGAGTAAAATTGTTTTATTATATACAATTAATTTATTTAGTAAAGTAACGATCGAAAACTAAGATGGATTTACTTTATCTTTGAATATATGTATATATTATATATATATATACTCTCTCACATATATTTATATTATTTTTAGTATTTAATATACGTAGTATTTAATATTTAAAATAACCATGTATCATGTGAATTTTAAATTTCTGATATTAACCCCACTTGTACATTATATCATAATCGAAAATATGAACTTTAAATATATGTTTTCTATTCTATACACACATAAATTTTAATTAGAATAGAGAGGATTTTGGTGATTTGAATTAGACGAGTAGTAATACTCTTATAAAATTAATATGTACTAACTACTATTTGAACATTGCACGAATAATACTAGATTTATGTCGACAAAATATAGTCTTTTCATATGCATGTATCATATACACATATTATATGTACATCGTACGTATATTTTTATATACGTACATTTTTGTAAACATTTAATAGAGATGAAAATATAACTAAAAAGTAATAAAAAATTTAAAATATATATGTCATTTTAAATTACTATATTTTGGTTGTTATGATTAAAGTATCTTAAATCTCGGTATGGCAATGCATACATGTAAAAATGCATGCATGAACGAGCAAAGTAAAAAAAATATATATAAATAAATATCACATTATGTTCATCGATACAGATACTCACTCACACTCGACAAATGTTATTATAACAATGGTAGTAGAAGTAGCAATGTAGTTAGAATAATTAATCGCAATAGTGACATTCAATGTCTTTCCCTTGTACTTTTACGTAATGTAACGTGTGCGTGGCAGATTTGTTTGAACTTAAATCCTTATTCAGTACTATCTTCCGTTCACTTATCTATAATACAAAGTGGAAGATTTTAAACTTCGGTAGGACCAGAAGGTTTCGCTTGCGTTCTCCTCCGTGCTAATTCGGACATAACGACTGGACCGATATGTGGAGATCTTGGAATACTAGACATAGCTCTATAGGTTGCCGCTACAGCCCACTAGAAATATTATTTTATTTATATTAATGATAATGAATTTAAGCCACTCTCTATTTTAACATATGTTTTGAACAAATGTGAAATACTTTTAAATTATGTGGATCCCTAATGCTCTCAGGTAATACTTTCTGCGGAAGACGATGGCGATTGGAAATCCACGAATATTTTAAAATGGCAGCTGCAGTAGGCCTCCTATTAGGATCAACGTGTAACATTCTTTTGACAAGCTCTTTGGCTTCGGTAGATATTTGACACCATATACCGCTTTCAACGTCAATATACCCGGGTCCAATACGATCTAGTATATCTGTCGCACTATCCCCTGGGCTATTACGAAACGGTGTATATCTACATTACAGAAAAACACAATTATTAGTATTGAATAAGTATCAAGTTTCATCTAATAAATGGTTACTTCGATTACCCAGCTAACATGATGTACAATAAAACACCGAGTGACCAAATATCACACGCTGCATCATATCCTTGACGTTTCAATACTTCTGGTGCTACAAAATTTGCCGTATAACAAGGTGTCATTAATAAACCATTCTCTGCTCGCAACTGTTTCGCGAACCCAAGATCACACAAACAAAGTGTCGATGGATCAGCTCCAGGTTTTGAATATAATATATTAGATGGTTTTAAATCTCTATGAACGACCTAATAATAAGTATAACGTGATTTTGGTTAATTAATGAGTCCAACAGTATGTAACTAAATAAATGATAATAGATATTTACTCCATTTTCATGAAGATAATGAACTACGTTAGCGATTGTATACATCACTTCAGCAGCTTCTCTTTCTGTAAGACTTCGCCTTTGTAATAAACGATCCAATAGTTCTCCACCTCGCAATAATTCTAATACAAGGTAAGCCCGTTTATCATCTTCGTGAACAGCTCTCAACGTTACGATATGAGGATGCCTTCCATATCGAAGTAAAATTTCTATCTCTTCTGTTGGATCTCTTTTTGATTTTTCAATTACCTTTAACAAAGAAATTATTATTATTTTTGATACATAAACTTTAATTGAGCATATTATGACTGGTATTATTACCTTACAAGCATATTCTATTTTGGAAGTTTTATGAATAACTAAATAAACTGTACTGTAGCTTCCTTTGCCAATTTCTTGTTTAAATTCATATTCATCGGTCACAGAAATGGGGTTCACGTATGTAGGAAACGTTGCACTAAGACTATCACAGTTTTTGTATTCAGGAGGTTTGAGATGATCCTCAAGAAGGCACGGTGCGATAAAACTAAAGCCACGAAATAATTCGTGGGCATTAGCACTTGGTGGTACCCCAGGAGAATCTAAAAATAAATGTATTACATTTGAAAATATTTGAAGTGTTCGAAGCGTAATCGACGTTACCTTTAGGCGTTTTACACGTAAATTCACTATCGAAATGAAATGCGTCATCTTCTTGACTAACGGCCGGTTTGAAAGGGGGCGTTATTTCTTTTCTATAAAGAGCATCCCAGTCAATTGTCGCAAAAAATATATGACTTTTTATTTCTTCAACTCCACCTAAATAAAATCATTTGTAACATAATGATATCCCCCTAATTTAAAGAAAAAAATGAATAATTACCAAATCCTAGTCTGTTTGCAGGATTTCTCTTAAATAGTACTCTTAAAAGCGCTTGCGCTTCTGGCGAAATGTTAAGTGGCATACCCAGTTTGGCTTTTAATATTTGCGTCATAGTTTCTTTACGATTCGCAGCTTGAAACGGAAGAGCTCCAGTCAACATTTCAAACTGAAAATTATTTAGTTCATAAATCAAAACTTTCCAAATAAGATTTTATATCGCAACTTACCATAAGAACGCCGAAACTCCACCAATCGGCAGCGAACGAATGACCTTTTCGATTTACAATTTCTGGTGCCATATATTCTATAGTACCACAAAACGAATATGCCTTACAATCATCTAAAGGTTGTTTACTTAGGCCGAAATCAGTTAAAGATATATGGCCTTCGGTATCGAGCAAAATACTATCATAAATAAAATAAACACCATAAAATTTATATATTTTAATAATATATAAATTAGTACCAAATAGTATAATACAAACTTTTCAGGTTTGAGATCTCTATAAATGATTCCAAGTTTATGAATATGACCTAATGCAAGAGCAAGCTCTGCTAAATAAAATTTTACATCATCCTCTGTAAACATTACCTACAACAATTATACGAATGAATCCAACTTGTAAGAAAATATTGGTAACACTGTAATATAAATAAAGTTAAATAATAAGAAACTACCTCCTTAGCTAATCTTGAAAATAGATCACCACCTCTTAAGAAGTCTAAAATTAAATAAAGTTTGCCTTCTGTTTGGAATGCGTAATGTAGTCGAACTATGAATGGATGCTCAACATCCACCAATATATTTCTCTCCATTTTTGTCCTAACTCTGTCCCGAACTGAGATAATATTGCAACATTAAACGATTTTGAAAAAAGAACAATGATAATATTAAAGATGAGAGTTGCTCTGAAAATTCTTCAGGACAACTTTTAACACAAAATTGAATATAAAAAACAATCTTTAAGACTCTCAGAGCTACCCTCATACATTTAACTTAATAAACACCTTTTAAAGTAGCTTTTTTTAGAACTTTCATGGCATAAAGTGTTCCACTATCTTTACCAACAACTTTCCTCACCAAGAATACCTGAATAATGCAAGAATTTTATTTGTATAAAATTGAGTTGTAATATATTTCATTTATTCACTCATTCATGATGATCTTCAATACCTTCCCAAAGGATCCTTGACCAAGAACTTTAAGCAGTTCAAACTGAGATGGACCAGCTTTTTCATGACCATCTCGAACTACTTCACGAAGTTCAATTTCATGGGACTCAGAACATTCATTTGAATGTGATTCAATCACATTTCCTTGAGTCATTGTTTCTTCTTGAGATTCTGCTGGAAGAATATCTACAGATTGCTGAGAAAATAAACTGATTATAATATATGAACTTCTAGTGGCAATTCAACAAAAATGAACTGTGCTCTAAACAATTCAGTGTCAACATTTCACCTTGACAATTATAAAAACATTACCTGCTCGGTTACATGTTGCTCAGACCAAGGAACTGTTAGAGTCGCCAACGGCATTATATTTGATGTCGTGTTTGTAAAATTGTAAATGTTCTCATAAAGTATTCCTACGTGCGCGGTCGTCATAAATTAACATTTAACTACGTTACAAAACAGTAGTGTAAATCACCCTCGAATCGTGCAGTATTACAGCAGTTCGCGGTAAATTGATAGACGCATGTATAGCATACACACTATTATTCGTTCAACAGGAGGTCATACTCAATCCGCGCAATACGGCTAACTTCAGTGTTTCACATTACTCATCGCTATCCCACTATCACACACTTTCCACTTAATCGGACATATACATGGTGAACAGAAATGTGTCGCATTTGACTGCAAACCTTATTTTAGAAATATAACAATGTAGGGATGAAAAGAGTTACATAAGACATGAAGACCTAAGGCTATTGGGATCTAGAGATATAAAGGTCTGGGATATGCAGGCCTAAGAACATAAGAATGTACGTCTCAATATACAGAATCACTGGGTATACATGCTAAATATCACAGCCGTTGTGAAGACACATGCGCGTTGTTGTTAATTACAAAATGTATTCGAACCAATCAGGAATAGTATGCGCAGAATGAACAAAAACTCGTCTAATAACGAATATGATCTCCCGTTGAACAAATAATACATACAAGTATCGACCACAGATAAGGCGTTAAACTAAAAGCATTCAAACCAGAATTCTGACATGAACCGGAAACACCTGCTTTGTGACTTTAAATAATGTCAAGCAAAATGGCTACTTTTCAATAAACTGTACGGGAAAACTTCTGAGAATATAGAACAGCACAATATGTGACAGCAAAATGCTCTTATCATATAAAAATGCTGAAAATAGATTGCAAACATTACATAGAATATAGTTTGTAGAGATAGTAAGTATAGATAGTCACCTTCATAGGTGCGGCCATTGATTTATCAACAAATAAATAAAAAAACTCAACATGTAATATATTTACATTTACGATACGATGTACTAACATACTTATACGCGTTATCCATGATGACTTTTTATCGGATCTTATGACGTTCTTGTTGATATCTATCTATATTCCATGATTGAAATTTTCAAATTGTTGAATTTAAATTTGAAAATTTGAAAATTGTAAAAGCCCTGTACCTATAAAGTTCCAAATTCCCAAATTTCTGAATTTCTAAATTACCAAATTCCGAAATTTGGTTATGCCTATTTTATACCTCTTTCTACTATGCGTATAGTTTGTCCGCTATGTATATGACCGGCGAAATAATAAATATATCCGCAGTATAGTAATATCAAGTGGTGGGAAACATACTGAAGGTAGTTGCATTGTGCAAATGTAGTATGATATTTCGAGGAACGAATAATAAATAGGTACAGGGAATGCAGACATCAAACTGTGGTACTATTTAATTGTATGTGTTTGACCGTAAGGTGGACACTAAATGTGATTCATTTTGACGGTTGCGTTATAATAAAAAATTGTATTTTTTTTTTTTTTTTTAATAAAGTGTAGTATGACATGTTTAATAGGAAACAATTGAGCAATCAGTGAAAATTTTTGAAATAGTAACAAGTATTTTAACCTGTATTAGTTATTATACAAAATTACTAATTCCATTTTAAGTTCAATTTTATAATGTTTATAGCAATATTTTTGTTATTAATAAATAAATTAATTTATGTTTAATAAAAAGGACTATTCTTAACAATATATAACTTTAGTGATGTGCTTCTTATTTGTATAAACTTATTTGTGTCAATAAGTGTTCATTTTAAAAATATAAAAATGCCATGCTGGTATTATGAGAAGAAAGAACTACGAAATACACCATCGATTCAAGATGGAATTGATTATGAAACTGAGTGCAGATACAGGAAAGAAGGTGCACGTTTCATCATCGATACAGGAACAAAAATGGATTTAGGCTACAATACAATGGCAACTGGTGTTGTTTATTTTCATCGGTTTTATATGTTTCATTCATTTAAGAATTTTCCACGATACGTAAGTATCTGTTGTTAAATATGTTTTAACAAGCGCAATATATATCTTATGATTCTAATTTCACTTAGGTGACTGCATGCTGTTGTTTATTTTTGGCAGGCAAAGTAGAAGAAACTCCAAAGAAATGTAAAGATATCATTAAAACTGCTAAAACTTTGTTAACTGACCAAAAATTTATGACATTTGGGGAGGATCCTAAGGTAAGCTTTTCAATTTATACAGGGTGATATTATATTTTATACCAATGAATTATTAATTTAAAAACAATATTGTTTATAAATGTATTTGTTTTACAGGAGGAAGTTATGACATTAGAAAGAATTTTATTACAAACTATTAAATTTGACTTGCAAGTTGAACATCCATACAGTTATTTGCTGAAATATGCAAAATGCCTTAAAGGTACAAATATAAATTTAAAAGATATTAGAATCATGTAATAATTAACAAAACATTATGATTGTGTTACAGGTGATAAAAATAAATTACAAAAGATGGTTCAAATGGCCTGGACATTTGTTAATGACAGGTAATAATATCCTAACATTGTTTGTAAATTAAATGGTACATAAGTTATTATATTCTATTTTATTTTTGTATAGTTTATGTACAACATTGTCTTTACAATGGGAACCAGAAATTATAGCTGTTGCTCTTATGTATCTGGCTGGAAAGCTTAGTAAATTTGAAGTTGTGGATTGGAATGGAAGACAGCCAAAGCATTTACGTTGGTGGGATATGTTTGTTGAAGATGTTACCATGGATCTATTAGAAGGTATTTTTTAATGTTGTTTTCATTTGTTTATTCATAATTACATCATACTTATACATATTATTATATTTCAGATATTTGTCACCAGGTACTAGATTTATATTCACAAGCAAATAATACAAAACCTCCAGATTCACCACCAATGACACCATCTACTGAACCATGCAGAGATAGAGCAATAGCACCACCTCCTACAGAATCATCATCTAACACTCCAAATGGTATGTAAAATACAAATAAGACTTATAATTTTATTTTTGTAATAGTAAATGAAAACGAAAAATATTGTAATTATATTCAACTTCATATTACAGTTACACCAGGAAAATCTACCAAAGTTGAAACAGCAGCAATTTCGGCTAATGGATGCCCACCTGCAGATGCTACAGATTCAATGAAACCAATGGATGTACCAACACATTTTCAAACATATCCAACTAATTTTCCACCTGGCAATATTAATTATCCACCAGCATTTCCACCGGCGAATGTTTCAGTACCTCCTCCTCCAGTGAATACAATGAATCATATTGTTCCACCTATGCATCATTTAGGCTCGTCTAGTACCATTAGACCAGCACCACCTGCCCCTAGTACAACACAATCACCATTTCAACCATATCCTTATCCTACAAATGCTTCATACTTTCCACCAAATAATCCAGTTCCTCCAGCTCCTGCACCCCGTACATATTATCCACCACAACCTTAGCAAATAGAGATTTTTAATACCAAAAATATCATATTTGTTTATGTAAGTGACATTATTGTAATTAAAATTCATATTATTACAAAATTAATAACTGAACTTTTGTAAATATTGTAAATATATAATATTTACTATTGACAGTAATATTAAAATGATGAAGCTTTTACATTGTTAATAGCTGGATATATCAATTTTTTAAGTGAATAAAATATATATGAAAAGAGACAAAAATTAGTTGAAATTCTACAAATAAAGATTGCCTTTATTAAAAAAATCTTTTCCAGCAAATGATACATCATGTAGTGTACAGTTCATAGCTTCAAATATTTTTATAAGAGGTTCTGCAGATGATGAGTCCAATGCAAAACTGTCTGTATATAAAACATATAAAACTGCAGGTAACCCCGTGAATTCTGCATAGGATAAAACTGAAAAGACGAATATAATTTAGTTACTAAATTTAGACATTAAAATATATTCCTCAATTTTTATCCGAATTAAAACCAACCTCCTGCTGTGACACCATATACAATATTTGGTTGTTCTAGAAAAGGTACTTTCAATTTGCAAACATTAGTTCCACACTTTGTAGCTAACATTCTTAAGAATGATGGGTCAGTTGGTACATTATTATTTTTAAACTGTGATATATGCCGACATGTTATGCAAATTGTATTTTCCACATTTGATAAAATATCAGTCATCTAATGAATTCCAAACAATTAAAGAAGAATACTTGACATGTAGTAGAAAGTTATTTCATATAGATACACTTACTTTATCTACAAGTTTACTAGAAAATTTGACATCAAAATGTGTTAACACAATGCACAAATATACCTCTTCATTAACTTGGTAAATTGAGCATGCTTTTTTCTGTTTGTCATCTTCTACAAAACATACTTCTTCTGAATTTTGAGCCAAACATTCCCTTGAGAAATCTATAATTTTATTGAAAACACTTAGAGGTGTCATCGCGATATTAATACCGGCAAAATGAAATGTACATTACCAATTAACATTTCACCTTCAACTACAATTACTGTATTGATTCGAATTGGCTTTGCTTTTAACCACTGAACAAAAAATTTGCTGGAATATTTATTGAAAGATAAAATGTGATTGTCGTAAGAAGGTTATGTTGAGCAAAATATGACTTACGGTTGATATACCGGTTGTCCAGTTGGTGCATTTTCATCTTCTTCATCCCAAAATGCTCGTGAAACTGGAAATACAACTTCGCCAAAGAAACTTGCCATTTTTGCGCATAAAACTAATCATGAACGGTAAATATTTTATTACTGTTTTTACGTTGTCATGATATGTAGTGTATTCAAATTGTGTAGCATAAATTGAATCGCGTGAAGTCGAATCTTATGGAATTAAGAAGAGGCAAATTCAATCATGTCAAATTGAAGTATAATCAACTATTACAAGATTCGCGTAGATTTGAATTTTCTTGAAATGAACACTTGCTCGTTAGATCAAAACGCACCTTTATTCTTCTTTATCATATCAAGTTATATTTACATACAGAGATAATAAAACAATTGCTATTCGTCATTTATCATTAATTAAAACATTTGTGTTTAGAACAAAATGGAAAGAAATAAACAGCGCTAGTACAATATCAGAGTTCTTTCATTTATTAAATATTACGTTTTATATCGGTAAAACTATTTATTTAAAACTACGTGAATATTATAAATTTACTTGCCAATTAGCAATTATACATATTCATATAAAAGTATAAAAATCCTTGTTGTATTTATCATGGAAGTATATTTTACATTACATGTATTCATGTCAACAATGTATTACTATACACTTTTCTTTAAATTAACTATATAGATGCTAACCTTTTTTTTTTTAAATAATAGCACTTTGCCTCTTGCTTTAATAATTTTACAAAATCAAACGGATGTTTAAATCTCATGCAAAATGTCATAATAGTTCTTTTTGGTTATCAAATTTGTTCCAAATTTGGACCCTATACATTATTTTGGTGTTATACATATATTCAACATCATTTTAATACTACAATGTACGCATTTAAAATATTTCATTCTATAAAATAATGAGCATTGCTGTTTTAAAGGTACAGTTTTGTGACACATTTTGGTATCTAAAAATACCTTACTATTACTGTAATTATACTTTATAATATACGATATAGAATCATGTACTTTACACGTGATATATACTGCTCCCAAGCTAAACCATAGCGCATTTTACAGCGTTCATTGTCCCTCATCGCTCTATGTATTAATAATGCTGTACATAAAATCGCATAATAATAAGGCAAAATATCACATGCCAAACTTGTACATGAGATTGACCACCACATGATTATGTCACCCAAGTAATTTGGGTGTCTCACATGACCCCATAAGCCCGACACTATAAGCTTCTTACCACGAATCGTTGGTATAGTTTCTAGATCTACAAAAAAATATAAGTAAATACTACAACTGTTTCATAAATTTTTAATGATTTTATACTTACGTGCCACAGATGGAGATAAAGGATTCCTTCTGAATTCATTTTTTTGCAAGTTACTGATTCTATATAATAAGTATCCGATTATAAAAGTGAGTACAGGAAGAATATTCCAGTAAACCAGCCTTGCTCTAAAGTTTAAAAAAATATTTGAATTTACATTTTATTCAAGTTACAACATATTCAAACTGTAATACTTACCTATGGTAAAACATGTATTTTGTTGTGAGAGTCGGTAAGAATGGAAATAGTAAATATCCAGTACATAACATGTAACCTGTTCCTTCATACATTACTTCAAAAGTTGTTAAAAATGCAGATTCAAAGAACAATGCATCCATTGCATATAATATTTGTAATGAACAAGTTACAAATACATTAACATTAAAGTGTTCCAAATCATAACTTTCAATCCCCTCAGTCGTTTTGAATGCAATAGATAAATTGACAAGAATCTATAATTTAAAAAAAAAAGTTTTATATTACGAAAATGAGTAAATCTTTTTATAAAATAAAGACATTTCTTAAAAACCTCGTACCATAGTTATCAGAGATGTACGAATGAAACACAACTTTAGATCTATAAGACCGATTCTAGGATTTATTTCTCTTCCTTGCCAAAAGTTGTAAATTATACTATTTGTCGATCCGTGTATATTAAGATTAGCTATCGGAGCTCTGTCACTCTTTATATATATTAACGCTGATAAAACTGTTCCAAGAATCCAGCCACTAATTGAAAACTGTACGCACTTTTCTATAATGAAATCGGCAACTTTTATATCGTTACATATACACGTGCTAAACACAAGTAACGATAAGAGCGCGCACAAAAATCCTGAAAATAAGACAAATATAATTATTAATATTCAAACGAGATGATTGATTATTATAAAAATTACCATTCAAACGATACTGTAATCTTCCACTTCTACTTTGTTGTCCGTCCACTTTACGCCCGATTGGAATGATTGAAATCATAGATACAAAAAGCAAAAGTCCCAAATATGCGGTAAGAGCTTCCAAATTTACGTATGAATTCAGATCTGTACTTATATTAAAGTATCCAAATGAACACTGATTTTTTGTGCACATAAGTTGCGGTAAAATTGTACTTAAAGGTAACGCAAATATTAGAATGAGGGTACCAATCCACCCTCCCCATTCTTGTGGTTCACTGATAATGCTTATTTCTTTTTCCCGCTTTTCAATTACCTTTGTATTCGGAACAACGTCTTCCTCATAATTTGCTATCTTCAGCAAATCCTGTAATAATAATCAATGAATACCCTTAAAAATTTGGCTAATTTACGATAAATAATTATTGCATAAAACAACTATTACATGATCTCTTTGTATTGAATAACTTCTTTCTTTCCCATCAATTACATTAAAATCGTGCAACTGACTTTTCCTTTCTAAAGGAAGTGAGACAGCTCTGTTAATATTTCTTGTTAACATAACCATTTGATGGTCTGACTCAGGTTTTAGTGTACCAGAGAAGAGCCTTGTTGATCTACGTGTAACTGTTCCCAATTCTCTTAATCTAGATTGTAGAGGTACCGATTCAACAGTATAGTCAAACTTTCCTGTGTCCTTCTTATTCGTGGTATTATCATTTTTAGTCAAATCTGTATATTTATAAATGATAAAATAAATGAGATTTAATAATAAAAACATTGTACATATAATATATACAATTACCATCAGATACTTCTATTCGTGACAATGAGATTCTCGCAAGTTTTGTACTTCGTGTTGTCACTGATTTATTAGAAGATGGAGGTCTTCCAGGTGAACGTTTACCTGGAGATCTTTTATATGCTCGAGTTGGACTTTTTTTGGTAGCAGCACTTTGTCTTACTGTGGATCTAGATGGTCTACTGATCTGAAATTGAAAAAGAAAATTTATAAGAATTCCAAAATACTTCATTCACATAAGACAAAGGTAACACATACCTTAACATCATTTGAATGAACCATACGTTCATTTCCTGTTTCAAATTGTACTTTATAAGAATCACCCCTTATACTCAATATCTTACCCTTAATAAATTCATCTGTATTTGGAAGTCTAGCAAGTACTTCTGTCCCTTCAGAAAACACCATTTTTGTATCTAAAAACCAATAATGACTTTTAAAAATTTATTATGTTACATAATAAGTGAACATACATAAATAAGAAAAATTTTCATTTTATAAATTAATTATATTACGCCAATATAAAGCCTCAATTTATACCCTTGTTTTATAATTTATGAAGCAAAATAATACAAATATTATCTCTTGTATTCACGATCAAATATTATCGTATATGTAACGAAATCTGAATTAAACTATAACATATTGAAACATTAAGTAATGCACTTCCATACCTTACATGCAGTTTCACTTATACAATAGTAATATCTTGTAATGAGATCCGGAGTGGTTTAAAAATAAGAGAGCTTCTAATCGTAAGGTTATAATTAACCCTTTTTTTTTGCATCATAACACGAAGACGCGCACAAAATACTGTGTTCCGAGATGCATAAAATGCAGGCCACGCTGAATAACTGCACAGGACGCGCGCATTATGATGCGTTTACAATAAGCGAGTACTTAATCAACATGAATATTGTATAAATTTTGAATAAATGTTATCCACGATTCGTATAAAATAAATAAATTACAAAAGAACATAAAACTTTAAACGATGTGGTTCGTAAAAAATCTATTTCAGATTCAGCGAGTGAGAATTCAGAGTATTTTTTGGAACCCCTCATCGCGAATTAATTTTCATCGATGTATGCATTTACAGGAACACATTATCGATATTGCGGATTTGATCCACAGAAGGCAGCTTTAATATTTTTTTAACTTTATACGATTTTGGAATACAGCCCCGCAAATAAAACAGTCATTATCATAAATCTGAGTACTTATTCGATGCAATTCTACTTTCTTAATTTTGAATAAAATAGTAATCGGTAGTTTGCGTAATATATGCAATGTTACGTGACCTTTGTTGCACTAAAGTAGTTTTGAAACAAGCAAGTACCTGCCAAAAAGTATGATTAAAACAATCATACATTTGTATGTCTTTTTAAATCGTGACGCGCTGACATATGCGCCACTTTATTTTTTCTAACAATTTACATTTTAGGCAACGGTAATTTGCGCGTTATGAAAGTGAAATTCTTCAAAATATTTTCAGCATTGTCAATCGGTTGAATATAGATAAATATCCGCTATCAAACTTGTATTAAATAATCATGGACACTGATGTCCACGTAAACGAAACGAATTTAGAAGACGAAGAAGAATTCCTGGTGCGTATACGAATTTAATTTTCCCTCGACATTCGAGTAACCATCTATCGTTCGTTTCATGTTCAACATGTTTGTGTGAAATACGGTAGCCGGAAATGACGCCAAAGGAAATCCACTTCCTCGTAATTCAAACGTATCAAAATCTTTCAGCTTTCCGTGAAGAACACGTTAAGTACCGTCGAGGAAAGTATGTGTAAGTTTATAAATGACGTTCCAGAGGCATTAGCCGACTCTGGACTGGAAGTTAACCTAGAAAAATTGAACATAGACGATGGTAAAAAAATAGTGGAGCTTCTTCGTTCGTTTCCCAAATCGTTTAACGATTTTAAAGCGAGTAAGGAAGGTTCGGTTACCAGCTATTTATTTTTCTCCTATTAACGATAAAAGTGAGTCACGTCCAATTCCAATTAATTTCCCCCTATGTTTTTAGAAGAGAAAGAAAAAGTGCTATCACTGGAGCGAGAGTGTGAGCAACTGCGTGTTGAATTACAACAACAAATTGACGGGAATAAAAAGGCGCAAGAGGAAATAAAGTACCTGAGAGAACAAGTGACTTTAACGTTAATGTCCTTTTCATTGACGTAACTAGAATTTCTGTTTAGTTCACTTTGAAAATTTTTTAAGTATTAACATTAGATATCTCATATTCATATTTTTAATATAAAGAGAAGAGCAGGCTCTTTTTGGTCCCTATCTAGTTTCGTCAATGGTCGCATCGTCGCAAGCAATTAACGACAATTAGCGACGATTTGATATTGTGTATTTATTTTTTCTTTCTGTAGATATTAAATGAAAGTACGTACTGTGCAAGTTTAGGGGCGGTTTTGGGCAATCTAGCATGGCGCGCCTCCAGATTCCCAGAGATAGTCGATGTCTGGCTTTCCGGGGTAAACACGCTTATTCTTTCAAGCCTCGACGAACAAAGGATCTCGCGTTAATCGGTTTATTGCAGTTTCAGCACAAGATCGACGAGTTTTTATCGATAACGGACGGAAGTTTCGTCGCGTTCATAAATACTTATCGGAACGCGTTCCCGCCGACTTGCAACGTCGAGTACGAATTTATAAGCAGTTTGTTAGGAATCGTGACGAATATCTCGGCGACTCCCGAAGGACGGGAATTTTTAATCACCAACAGAAACGGCCGAGATTTCGTACAGAAGATGATTAAGCTCATGCCAGCTCTACCGGTTTCGCAGGGATCTCTTTCTTTACAAAAGTGATTACATTATCGTCGTTTATCATATAATTATTGTATTTTCGTAGAAATTTGTCGACAGCTGTATGTTCGTCCTCGCGTCTAATCGTAAGGTGTAAATCTCGCAGGCTGATGCTGATGATATTCTACAACGTGAGTATGAACAAGACCGGTTTACAGCATCTGTTCGAGTCACAGATATGGGAACCATTGAACCATTATTTGAGAAACAATTCACTGCCAAACAAAATGCAGCTGCTGTGTCTGCGGGTGCTGCAATCGATTACGTACGATCTGACTAACCCGAAATATATTCAGAAGTTGATCGCGACATTGCCGCTCGATAGAATAGAGGATATCGCGACGTCGAACGAGGACGGAATGAACACCGTCGCCAAACAAGTAATAAAACATTTGCGAGACTCGCAGAAAGTCCTGAGTTCCAATTAAAACGCGTTACGCGTGGTTTAACGTTGACCATTGCAATTTTTATGTACATTAATTTACAGTTGCCAACAGGAAAATGAAATGTTGTTTATGTAATGCGAATTATACGTAAAGAATAGACAATGTTTGTATTAGCGAAAGTAAGTGGGGGACCATGATAGATCTTGCCCCTCCAAAATGTACATTATCCCTTCCACCTCTTACAAATTATTCGAGTAATATTTTCATTACGTAAACGGTATGTTAGGATCGAACGACACTATATACTTGAAAGTTAATGTAAAACTGGGGGACCTAGTCTAACCTAGACAAAAGTCCTAGTTACGCTAATGAATGCTGGTGTTCGTGGAATTGAATGACGCGTTAGGGTGCGTTTAGATTGGACGAGCAAGAACAAAAGCATTCGTACTTGTTGGTTAGTAAATTGAATCGCATAGAATTAATTGAAATCAACGCGATTAAATTTTACATCGTTCAATTCCATAAGATTCAATGCATCGCGTCCCAATTTGGGCAGTTCCACGTAATGCAATTTCACACGATTCACTCCTGCGGGATACAATTCTACACGATTCAATTCATTGTACCGAGCATTCGAAAGCTTAGTTTAAACTCCTCGAACATTGGCTCGCATTCGATTGTTTGCAGTGACCAAACAATTTGCTAAATGGTCATTTAGTTAAACAAGTACAAACGATTGCTCTGACTCTTGTAGCGTAGTTTTACTCGTTTAAAGAAAACACACCCTTACACCGGTACGCGAATTGAACTGCTATCAAACATCAGCGTATCCTTGAAACGTGTTCGTGACTAGTCTGGAGAACTGTCGAATATCGATCTGCTTTAATGCAGGCAGCTCCAAAATAAAAGCAATCGCGCGGAATAGCGTACGGAACAGTACGAAAATCGATTATGCATACAGTTAGACGGTAAAACGTATATCGAGCGGATGAATATCTTTCTAACCGATTAAACCGATTAAAAAGAAGTATCTTCTAATAGAATAAACAGCATATTTTGTTGAATGAAACGATAAAGCGACCGAAATGATCAAACGAAACATTTTTATTTGTACTTTAGATAAAAAGGCATTAGAATACGTTTGAAGTACTTACCAATTTTACTGTACTCGCAATTAGTATGCACGACGCATTCGTAGAAGGATGCGCTACGAGGAACGTCTAACAATGTATGTCTAAATTTCATTGAGCATCGATGGCCTTCAAGCTTTGAAGGTTGCGTCAACGAACACCGCAGTGTCGCGTTACCAACTTGCAACCCTAGCGTAAAATGTTCACGCGTGTGTATGTTTTGCACAATTGCAATCGTACTCACGCTCACAATCCTACAGTAGCTGGCACCGCAAATTATCTGTACTTTGCAGCAAACCCAGTTAAATTGATTGTACTACATCGATAGTACGTATCAAGGTGTCTACATATTTGTTAAATAAATTGAACACAGATTTATTTTAATAAAAATTTATTGTATTCTTCCAACTTTTATTGTCATATAGTCGTGTACAATAAAACGAAAGGTTATAGGTCAGATGTGATTCACGATAGTAAACTCTACATCGATTGTATAAAAAAAAGCACACCTTCCGTTTAGAATAGCAAAGAATAGAAGTCCGCATGTTTCATTATCCCGCATAAAGAGATGGGGGAGAATTGTAAATGATAGAGACACAAAGGGTATAGATGCATTGGCGGGAGTAAATACTAAATAGATATTAGGATGGGCCCATTCTTTTAGATATGAACTGAACCATTATGTATATTGCGAGGGATTCAGAATGTGGGACACATAATCCATACGAGAAATTTGAAAATTTTCCAAAATAATAGATCCGAAGTTTGTAAAATATTGAAATCGAAGAATTGGGAAATTCGTAAAGGAGACCTAGCGATGTCAGGCGTGGGGTGTTGACTCTGTCAGTATCGCCAGGGTGCTGGCCCACCCCACACAAAGATGCTAGTTACGCCAATGTAGAAATGCACGCAATACCGACTAGCTATCGCGTCGATAATCGAGCTGCGCAAGCTCGCGGGTAAGCGCCACACGGGGGCGTGCGCGACGAAAGATCGCGCATGCTCTTTGGAGATGTTCGGTGTCGAGCGGCCGTGGCAACAAGGGTGAGGGTGGGGGGCACGCGTCGCGACGTCCGGCGTCGCGTAAACGGGAGATCACGGCAGGC